CTTGGTCTTCATATATTCAATTTCGGAATTGATTGAGAAAATGAACCAGATAAAACTGAATAAGTACTGGATCTAAAGGCAGAGCAAGGTCAAACCATCCAGCAAAAAGGAAGCTTCCTCTAGAATTTTTAATCTCACAGTCCAGACAAAATATGAAGAAAAATAGCAAATCTTTCTTCCATCCCTCTTGACTTCAAAACCCCAGCGATCCTGAAGAATGAATTATATTTTGCACTTTGGAATGAAAGAAAGACAATAAAGGACATCCTAGTAGAGGTGATTAATATATCTGAGGAGCTGGAAATGGAGACCTGGAAATGGGAAGCACCCTAACAATCTTGGCACATCAAGAACCCACGATTAGAAACAGTATAACCAAGATATATAGAAGATTGAAAAAAAACGATCAATTAGTTCTGCTAGCCGATAAAGAAGGTGCTACGATGGACATCAGCCTTACTCATAAAATTATAGGAAAGTTAACTATTATTCCTTTAGCACCTTAAACGAAATAAGGTGAATACGTCTCATAGAACAAATTATCGGCTGCTAACAAAAGACCCAACAATTAACATCAAAATGGCACTGCAGGAATACGAATAGGGGGATCGTCAAATTCCATTTCTACGAAGGGAATGCAAGTGTTTCAGTAGCATACCGTTTGCCGAAAGTACACAATGAAGCAGAGACATTGAGACTGATAGTCAACAACAAACACATAGCAAAACATAAACTGGCTTAACATATCTGAATCAAATTAAAGAAGCTAAGTTAAATGAAATTTACAATGCACATGGAAGAGAGCGGACACTTACTTTTCATTTATGTGTTGAACGCTTTCTTTGAGGAGACTCAAGAAACGGCTATTTCGAAAGAAATCAAATGCAGGAATAAGCCTTAATTTCTATTATTACCATGAAGATTAGGATACTCTGGAGTATGATGATAAGAAACCTACGATTCACCGATTCTGAGTTCTGGATGATAAACTGAAAAAACGAAGAAGCAATAGAACGCAACATACGGATCATGATGAGCAGGTGGCAGGACGGAGATTATGGAAAGAAAATAAAGGATACAGGAAAAAATATTTATGTCTATCAAAAAGTTGATTGCTACGGGGTTAACAGCATAAACTACAAGGACTGTAAACAAACGACACTTTCTTCAGTTATGCCCACTTTTAGAGAGAAAGTTGACACATTATCCAGATCGGGTTGCTTCACAATAACGTGTTCATGTGGTCGCTTTTATGTTGGAGAGACTTGTCGTCCCATTCGACAAAGAGTGGCTAAGCACAACAGCGCCTGCAATGGCTGTTGGCTTCAAAAATCGGAGCTTGCTGAGCACAGGGCAGAAACGGGACACGAGATTGAATGGTCTCAAATTTGTCGATTTGCTAATTTGCCATAGACATAAACCGAATAGGAAATACCTTGAATGTAAGGAATACTGGTAAGAAGATAAGTAAAAATTATTTGTGCTTAATTAATAGACTGAAGAATAGAGAGGGAGTTGAGCCGATTGCAAAAAGGAGGCGACGCGACTAGTCTTTTCTTGTCTTGGTTCTAATGATAATCACTTCTTTGTACTTTTAGCTCACTCTTTCTCTCTTGCATTGAGACCAAAACAAAAAAGGGCTCATCAACAAAACTAGACGAGTGTCCGACCTTGCGCAATCGGAGTGATGGTTATAACATGTATGTAGAAAGGGGGAGATAGGGGTCATCAAACCTTGATGGCCGAAAACAGACGTTCCTTTTTGCTGTCCTAAATACTTTGAGCCACCACTGTGGGTTTCGTGCATAAGCGAACCCAAACAGGCACATACTCATACAGAGACTTACACACTCACAGGCATCGAAGTTGACATATGACCTTAATTAACCAAATCACTTTATACTTCATCAAAGAGACCAGAGGTAGAGTATATATACCACTTTTTAGGGATTTGCCGGCGAGTTTTCCTGACTCGTCAGCTTGAATTGTGTTGTGGCGATGATACCTTGGTCTGATGATGTTCGTCATATGACGGACGAATGCTTGGCACCCTTTCACCGGAATCGAAGGAAACAGCGTCAGCATGAATCTTCCAGTAAAGCCAATCAACAGCTGGTCAAGACAAATCCGCCGTCGTCTTCTGGTGGAACCGACCTTCGAATCTCTTCACCCAACACTTTCACTTGAAATGGA